TACTAAGATAAAATAGCTACCCAGACTTGTTTTATGACATCACTATTAAGGTTTATTTTAGTAATACATTTGGGTAGTGAACTATTATACTCAGTCCACAGGGCCAAGAAATGACAATTTTTTGAGTCTGAGGAAATTGCACAAAAAAATATGAAACTTCAAAGAATTAGTCACAGTAAATTTTCTAGAGGCAATTAAATTAGCTGAGAAGTAATTTGGTGGTGTAAAAACTTTTAATCTTAAAGTCATTAAACTGAATCTCTAGAGTGTAAAATCTATTTGATCACATGCTCACAATAATATTTTTGCTTCTTCTCAAAGATTTGCAGCTGGCTGTGTGGCAAATGGTGAAGAAATCCAGTGTCTCTGCAAAGAAGGCTACACCGGAGCTCGTTGTGAACGGTGAGTAGCCTGTCTCTCAAAACCAGGAGTTTTGAGAGATACAATAAAAGGAGGGATGCCTGTACTGGGACAGACACATGTGGACATATGGACATGCACCTATGCACAGTATGCATGTCCATAAGGAGTAGCTATTTACATGAACAACTGCTGAAGAATGGTGCTGTGGTGTAATTCCAGTCACAAACCTAATGCTCCCTGGGGAAATGTTAGCAATTCTCCACAGACTGCACCCTTTTTACTGAAAAGAGGTGTCTGCCTCTTTGCTGAAGTGCCCTATGCCTTGCCTCATCCTGCACTCTGGTAATAATGACTCCCTCTTATTTCACCCTTTTTCAAGTTAAAAACATTTTCCCCTTTCCTCCAGTGTATATGGTGGTGCCTCAATGGTCTTATCCGACAGCAACATGTAACATTTAGCATCCTACCCTTCATCCCAAATAATTCTGATGTGCTCCACAGTTGGAGCTTACACTCAATAGGTTGATGTAATCTCTTTTGCTGGAACATTGCAGCAGTCTGGCAAAGCAGTAGAGGAACGGCATGGCAGTTTCAGGCAGGCAGAGGAACCAATTTCACTGAGTTTCAAATCCAGAGAGAACTGAAGTGTAATGGAGTGGTGTTGTCTGGTTCAGAAATTTGAAGCTAATAAGTCATGATGTCACATCTGAAGACTGGACCTGCAGTAGGACATGGTGCCTTTGACCCTGTCTGATCTGTGGGTTATAGGTATTTTCTTTTCCAGGTACAGCTGTACCTCAGCTGCTCATCATGGCCCTTTGATCCTGCATTATCACCCCTATAAGTCTTACCACAGAGTGACTTCTAGGAATGTTAGGTATCCAGTCTGAACAATACATTTTACCTTTAAAATGTATAGAGATCAGTTACACAGACTGCTTTGCTGGCAGGAGGCAAGAGGGGGTGTCATGAAGCAGAAGGGTGATGATGTCATTCAGTGCTGTTGCTGTTTGAAATCTCAGCTGTGCTTGCAGTGTGATCCCCCTCAGTATGTGTTTTCTGGTGGGATCACAGGCCAGAATAGCATGGTTTGCTTGGTTAAGCCTTGTCAAATTCTTGTCAGACTAAGAGAATTATTCCTGCAAGGGCACTGTGGGAGTTCTTTTATTTTTAGAAAAAAATTCTTCAGCACTCACAAAGATATTTTTAGCATAGTGCAGAGGATACTGTAAACCAAGAATATATTATTTCTGTCTAAGTCAAGACATGAAATCAAAAGTTCTTGAAAGTTTCTTCAGGCGAATAACTGGGTTTTTATCTCAAGGGAAGGTATATTTCACAAAATTAGCTTCAACTATTTAATAATTTAATAAGAATTACTTGTATCTCTTTATCTAGCTGTGCTCCTGGATATTTTGGAAATCCACAGAAATATGGAGGCTTCTGTCAGAAATGTAACTGTAATAATAATGGACAGCTGGCTAGCTGTGACCACCTGACTGGAGGTACGTGAGGGCCTGTGCATGGAGCATTGTTCTGAATGGAAGGGAGCATTGTTTTATCTTTGGGAAGCAAAGAAGGAAGGTACTTGGATAAGCTGAACTGAAAGAAATATCTAGACTTACAAAAAATGTAGATTTTTTTTTTTACAAAATGTAAGATTTCCTAAAACAGAACACCACAATAATAGAAGGGCTGTCCCTGAGTCGTCAGGTTTACCCTTCTAAACAGTTTTGTCCTGTATTTTCCTTCATAAATACTGCTGACTTTATTTTGGTTTCATGACTGTGTTTTTAAATGTATCATGGTTCCTTTGCTGACAGGGTTCAATCATATCCTGCCAGTCTGTGTTATGGATTTAGGAAACTGAGCATCCTCAAAATGCCTTTTCAAAATGTATTTGGCACAGTTTAGCAAAATCTTCAGTCTGCCTCAGGCACTGCTGTCTTAGGTATCCAAGATGTCTGCATTTGCAGTGGAAGTTAGAACCTGACTCAGGAGGCTCTTTTATAAATCCTGCTACTCTGCTCTTCTAGCTAAAACATCCATGATTTCCCAGAATCAGTCACACATGTACCTCACTACTAGTAAGCTCTTACATAATGCAATGGGCATATATTTGCTTTATCTGTTAGAATTCTGAAGTAAAGGGCCTGATCTTACATTCCTCAGTGTCTTTACCTCAATTCACCTCAGTCCCTTGGGATACTCCTTTATATTCAGAAACACAGAGGCCACTGCTCCTGAAATGTCCTTGATTCTTCCATATTTTCATTCACCAATGACATTTCACTTTTTCTTCCCTGTAAACAGATTGTCTTCCTCATATGTTAATGAAGTTTCCAACTAATAACTCCAAATATTTCTATCCTCTTCATTTCTCTGCACTGATGTTCATCCTGCAGTCTAATCTAGTAACTCCAAGGAACCCACTGTCTTTCCTTGGCCACAGAAATCAGAAAAACAGCAGGTGATGTGAACTGCTGTTGGCAGCTGGTGCAATTTTTCAATAGCTTGTTCTCATTTTATATTTCATCATTAAAGTAATACATCTCTATTATACCTTGTATGGAACACATCCAAGCAGTATTTGATGTTTTATAATTCCTTTATTTTTTGAAGCCACAGTTTGCTAGGACAAACTAATCTGTAGGGCAATATTCAACAAGCCAGTTTGTTTTCCTCCAACTACACCTCCTGATCAGCTGTCTCTTTTTCTGCATTAGGAATAAGTCCATCTGTGATCATGTTCTAGCAAGTTCCTTTTGTGTGATGTTCTGCTCTTGGCCAGAACGTTACCATTTCTTGGCTGATGTTGGTGCACAAGCTGTAATAATAGTTTTATTTAATTGATACTTCACGGTGACAGCTGAAATGTGCCTGCTGTTAGCTGAACTACACAACAGCAGAACTACACAGATGTTTGCATTTCAGAGGAATTTCCTTCATTCTCTTAAAAATATATCCTTTATGATTTGTCTCTTCTGGCAGCAACGATCACTACCAATCCCATTTAACTTCCTGATGACTTAATGTGCAAGTGCCAAAGGAAATGGCACAGCTAGGCAGTTTGTTCCAGACTGTTTCATGCTGCTGGTAAAGTTCAGGTCCAATTTTATCACTGTGTCCTCTCACAAGTTGCAAGCTGTTGATGACTCTTGACAGTGGCAGCTTATACTGAGTGCATCCTTTTCCCTTAGAGTAAAAGACATAGAATCACTAAGGTTGGAAAATACTTTCAAGATCATCAAGTTCAATCTTTGACCAAGATGCATGGCCCTTTTCATTTTCAAGAGGAGATGAGAGCTTGGTGGTGAGACCAAGCCTGTAAAAGGAACTTGGGCATCAAGATGGGGAGATTCCTGTCCTGTTGATTGCATTTTTAGGAGCCAGTTCCTCTCCTGCATCCTAGAAGTTGGTATCCCAGGATGTTACTCCACATGCACCTGGAGACTGTTGAGCTTCTTATAACAGGGTTTGGAAAAACCAAACAGAAGAGTGCATTGGACAGGAAGTCACCTGTGCAGGCTTGTTGGAAAGTCTGAGGGCAATATTTGTTATATATGACCAGTATCTGTGGCCCAAGCTGCTTGCCTTGTCTTACATACAGTGCTTCCATCCATACACACACACACTGTGGATTTCTCTCAAGTTTGATTAATACCTTAATCTTCCAAGCTGTGACAGGCATGAAGGAAGGCCATAAATATTTCTCAGTTCCTTGTGGGTAAGACATTCTTTGGGGAATCAGAACCTGGTTTGAACCTGAATACTGAAGTAGATAAAGGGTTTGAACCTATGTCCTGGATAAACTGCTTTAACAATATAATCTTGTCTCCAGTCCTGGTGGTATTATTCTAGACAAATTCTTACAATACATTTGGCAGACTTGGTGTGAAAGGGTCTCCTGCTCCTATCCCAAGTAGCATATATTGTAGGATTACAGTAGGTTTCCTTTGAGGGATGGAAAAGGTGTTGCTTTCATCAAGACATTAGTGGGAGTTGAATGTTCTGAGCATGCTCAAGCCATCTAAGCATTTCAGCTCATTCACAGTGGGTATGGATTTATGAAGGGGCAGCAATGTGTTTTAATGGCTGCCAAACATGAAAAGTGAGGGAAAAATGCAGTAGTATTTCCATAAGAAGACTTTGGTTATTAATGACATTCTTGTGATTTCAGAATGTTTCAATAATGAACCAAAAGATGTGGATCCCAATGAAGATTGTGACTGTAAGTGATAAAATAGAACTGCTCTGAATACATACTGATGACTCTTTTAAGGGTGACATAGTTTAAAAAGGACTGAGATATCCTGTCATGAATGTTTTAAAAGCAAACGTTCAACCAGATACTTGGAAAAATTATTAAAGAGGTGCTCGTCTAGTCAAGTGTAAATGGAACCTCCTCCTTACTTCAGGCTTAAGTTGCTTTCCTTGATGCTGCAGGCTTTTTGTTGCCTTTGTTCTTCTGGCAGCACCAGGTGACAAGCTTGAAAGCTTTTCCACCATTACTAATGTGTTCAGTGAAATGTTCTCTGTGTTAAATCTCAATGATATGTATTGATTTCCACTGCTCCCTCCAGCCTGTGACAGCTGTGTGATTACACTGCTGAAGGATTTGAGCACAATAGGTGACGAGCTTCAGCTCATCAAGTCTCAGCTGCAAAATGTCCATGCAAGTTCCCACACTCTGGAGCAGATGAGAGACCTGGAAACACGCATCAAGGACTTAAAGGTAGTCAAACAGAAACAGAAAAGTGGATTTAAGATTAAGTGGATAGGCAATGAACTCAGGAACCTTTGCCATAATTTTGTCACTTGCAAGAAGGCATACATCAACCCTGGATTCCAAATATCAGATGCTGGTGGCACTGGGTTTCACCTGTTAGAAGGTAGCTGTGGTTTTCAATATCATGCTGTGAAACAGAATCAGTATCTCTGCTTTTTCTGTGGCCTGCCCACCTTGGAAGTTATACCTCTGAGGTGTCCCTCTAGCTATGTCCATTTCAAGCATTTCATGTTTCTGCCTTACTGAACCCCCCTAACATTCCACTTGCTATTACCAAAATTAATTCTAAAAAAAGTGTTATTTGGTTGGAATAGCAGTTGCTGTACTCACAAATAAAAACCCCAGGTTTTGGGAAGTAATGGTTCAGTTTTCATATCAATAATTCTGCTTTTATTTACCTTGGGTCAAGATTTAATCCAGTGAAATTTTTGCTTTTTGTCTGCTGTGCAGTGGGTGATTTATTGGACTAATTTTTTCCTTTCTTTTCAGGTCTTACTCAACAACTACCACTCTGTTGTCCACAATCAAGGTTCAAAGGTAGATGAGTTGGAGACAGAATTCATTAAACTAAATCGTGATGTTGATGCTCTCCAGGAAAAGGTGACTTACCAAATAAATTTAAAAGTACATATCTCCTGACTATGTATTAGCATGCTGTGTCCAGTTACTTTTAATCTAATATTTTTTTCTCCTTGCTAGGCTGAAATGAACTACAAAGAAGCTGAGAGATTATTTAACAATTTTGGTCAAACTCATCAAAAAGGAAAGGATTTGGTTTCACAAATACAAATAGTGGTCAACAATATACGAGGTAAAAAGTAATTTCAACTCATGTTTTGTTTTATATCATCTTTTCAGCTTACTTACAATATTCTTAATTACACATAGGAAGTTTTCTTAGAAAACAACTTTGTAAATCAGAATTTAGTCACAGCTGTAGTATTCACTCTTTCTATTAGAAATCTAATATATAATGTTAGTTTAGGATCCTACCTTCCTTATGAAGTGAAAAGGGACAGAGAAGCTTTACTACAGAGACATTTCGAGCAACAAATTTGACTATCCTCACTCAAGTCTAACTTTGTTCTGGGTTGTTATCCTGGGCTCTTTAAAGTTAGAAGCTTAAAATTTTTGCAGTGAACTTAGTGATTTGGGACAAATTTCAAGGCCAAGGCCATCTTGCTCTCTCTGACTGTGTATCATGGGATACTTTTAATCTTAATAGAATTAATGGAAAATGGATCTGTTTTATTAAGGAAAAAATAAGACATGCCTATTCCTGAATTAATTAATGAAGCAGATCCATCTCAGAGAAGATGTTGGCTCTGTCATTTGAGCATTTTGAATAGGCTTAAGCACGCCCTGTTTTTAACTTTGACAGTGCTTTTTTTTCAGTGCTCTTGGAACAGATATCTGGCACAAACGCAGAAGGTAACAACCTGCCCCTGGGAGATGCCTCTGAAGAGCTGGCCGAAGCTCAGCGCATGATGGCAGAGATGCGGAGCCGCAGCTTTGGCCAGCTTCAAGCTGAGGCAGAGAAGGAGCGGGTGGAAGCTCAGCGGTGTAAGTGCTTGCTCTCTCAGCTTCTGACTCTCTAGAAAGTTCAGTCATAAATCTGAAGAATTATTGGTTGGGTTGGAGTAGAGGGAGCGGCCTTTTGCAGTGTATTCCTGAGATACGTAGCTGTTGTTGGTCAACAGGAAAGTGGTTTTTCTGGAGGGGATTTAAAGGCATTTTTAGTGTGTTATGGAAGAAAATGGGTTGAGCTGGGGAAGAAACTCAGTAGATCCTTCTTTTGTAACTAGGTCAATCTCAGTAAAATAAAGATGTAGCCAATCCTAACACACCTATTAAATTCTTCTGTGTATTGTAAGAGATAGGCAGTGGTACATAGAGTTGTTTTTGAGGAACTGCATGTTTAATTTAACAACAGATTTTCCGAAGCTGCTAGAATAATTCAAGGGCCAGGTCATACAAGGATGAGGAGATTCACGAGTTCTAATTGCACTAGTTTTACTCTCTGTCATGTTCTTTGCAAGTGTTTGACTGGGACATTCAGAAACTCGATTCCAGACAGTGGAGACATCAAGAAATTTGCAGGCTTGTCCCCTAACCAGGAGCATAGTGGAGGAATGTGAAAGCCCATATGAGTGACAGTTAATTTCCATCAACCTTGAACATTGATACCTACCTCTGAGTGATTCTTCTGTATTCTATTTTGTCAGCAGTGAAACGGGCATGCTAAAGGGTGTGATTAATTTGACATCTTTTGTGTTCCTATATTCTTTGAAATTAAATGTGCTCGTATCTCTCCATTGATTACCAAAGAGGCTTTGATAACTAGCACAGTTGTAGATGTCTACATTGTGGATGAAATTGTTGATGAAATTATGTTATTTCCATATGAAAAGAAAATTCATATTTTCAGATCAGCATCATCCTTACTTAATTAAGAGAAGATTTATCTGTGTTCTGTGTCTGCAGCAGCAAACTAGCGAGCAGATTTGATGCAGCGAGATGCTGAATAGTATCTTTGCTATAGTAGCACTGAAATTAGCATTGCAGAAAATGCTCAGTTCACACAAGTACAGCTTTATAATCCTGAATGTCAAGGCCTTTTTAGCAAAGTTTTTGCTGGCTCCCTTCTTATCTGAACAAAACTTTTCTTTCTGGTCCTGATACTGCAGTACTGGCACGTATTAAGAATGAACTACAGAAGTACCACCAAGAAAATCGTGGGCTTATTAAAGTTGTGAGGGATGCACTGAATGACTATGAATCCAAAATCACTGACCTTCGTGAAGTTCTGAATGATGCGACAGCTCAAATCAAGCAGGCTGAAGGCTTAAACAAAGACAATACAGTTCTGCTAGAAGATATTAAGGTAATGTTGGCGATCAGGAGAAAAAAATTAAACCTCAGAAGATTAAGAAGTGGTTTTGGTTGCTGCTTTTGACCTCACAAAGATAAGCAGCACTAATTCTTTAGACTTTCTTCAGGGTCTCGTTCCATCTTCTGATGGGTGTGTGGACAGGTGTAAATGTGGTGTACTGCTGCTTATGGTCTCTTTGTGTGACCAGAGCAGTGTGACCAAGACATAGCTCTGATGAGAGCAGGGGAGGAGAGTCTCTTCCCAGTACTTCTTTCCAGCTGCCACTAGTGCTTTTGTTTCCTTTTCTAGACCAAATTCCTGATGCTGATGTGCTTTTCATAGTAAGTTCTTCAAAGTATTTAGCTTTAACAGCAATGAAAGATGGGAGCAAAAATGGGTGCAATACTGTTAAATTATTTGGGATTAGTGTTCTACAGAACAGCGGCTGAGATCTCATCAGGACAAGGAACAGCTGTTATTATTAAGCAGTATTTGAATTTTAGAGCTAGTAAAATAGTACAAGGAATAAGTGTGTGCTGCAGGACACATTCACTTAATTGTGGTCTTGTTGAAATGTATCACTTGTTGAAATGTAGCACACTCATTTAAGAAAAAAAAGTTGTTTGCCCCTTTGTTAATTCTTCTTGCAGGTTGGTTTGGTTTTGGTTTTTTTTTTTTGTTTTGTTTTTTTTTTTTTAATTTTGGTTTCAAGATACGTCTTTTCCTGCCCCTTTTCTTAACTAAATCACATGTGTTCAACTTGTCCTTTTTCCTCAGAAACGGATTGAGGAGACAAATGTGCAACAGACTGGTGTCATGAATATTCTGAGGTCAGCCCGGTCTTCCCTGACACAAGCTAAGAGTGTACTTGGATTATTGCAAGAGAGCAAAGAGGTAACGTTTATGAGAAGGTTAAAAACCCCAATATCTTCTTAGAGATGAGGCTTATCTGAGCCTGTCAAGAAAGAAAGGATCTCACAGTCCATCCTTGATGGAAAAGGATTCTGCCTGCCTGCACAGGTTTCTGTAAGAGAGGATTGTTGAGGGCTGTGATGTGTCTGAGGAAGACACTGAGCTGCAGGTATCAGCATCTGGGAGAACATCTGGGAGAAGTACCAGAAGCAATTGTTCTACTCTTGTATTTATTTCTGATTAATTGCTTTTAGCCACTGTCAGAGGGGCGAGATACTAGACTAGAAGGGTCTTTGCTCTGACTCAGCTTTTATGTAATGGGTCTGGAAGCATAATATAATGACTGCCAGTTATTTCCAGTAACCTGCACAGTAACTTGGTAGGGAATGTTTTTCCCTTTGGTCTCCTCAGGTGCAAGGTATGTGTAACACTGAAGTATACATGGACAAAATGAAACATGTACAAATACAAATAAAATTACATCTTTTTAAAACTATAGGAATATGAAAGCCTGGCTGCTCAGCTGGATGGAGCAAGGAAGGATATGAATGAAAAAGTGGCAAATCTGTCATCAGCAAGCAAAGAACCACTGGTGGTGAGGGCCGAGGAACACGCCAAATCTTTGCAAGATTTGGCAAAACAACTTGAAGAGTATGTTGCCATTCCTGTAAATGAGTAATTTTGTACATAACAAAAATGAAGTTGTTGTAATGGTCTGTAATTTCACTTGCTTTCATAACCATTTGCAAAGCTAGAGAGAAATTAAGTTGGTCTTTTTCTGCTTCTTCATGATGTGCAGAAATTTTCCTTTTCACCATAAAGCAAATCTTCCTGTATCTTTCCTGATTTTTTCCCCCTAGAAGTGTGAACCCATATAATACTGTTTTATACTGCTGTACTAACACTTCATTAATATCTTACTAGCTAGAGAAAATCCTCATATACAGAGTGGGAAGATGTTTAGCATATTTTTTGTAGAGTTATTTCAGGTACTCATACTCAGGGATGCTTATATGATATCAAAGAATTGAGGCAAATAATTGGAATAAATGGCTGTCTTGGCAGTCTTCAGACATGCCTGCTCAGCACTATGGAGGAAAAGACCTCCGTCAGTTTTCTCAGCCTTCAAGAAATCTTCTAGAAAAACAAAAATATTATAAACTTGAAAGGAATCAAGTGATTCTCTCTCCATTATTTGTACTTTGCGTTGGAATTATGAGAGGGAGTTTGGAGGCCTTCTGTGATATATCAGAACAAAATGAAAAAGTGAAATCCTGATTTATTTTTCCCTGTGCAAATTGTTGGCATTTTGTTGTTACGCCAAGTAGAAAGTCTCAGAAAATTAAATTCCAAAATACCTAACATGTCTGGAAAATTCTTGGGTAAAAACCCCACATTTCCATTATTTTTTTTGTTAGTTTTCAGTGTGAATTTTTTAAATTAAGAAGGTATTGTTCTCACAAATACAAGGCAGCTAGTACTGGACAGCTGTATAGTTCACAAGGAGTGGGTAGAAGAGATTTTGTCTGTTGTTTCTGATTCCAGAGCTGCTCTGCTGGTTCTTGGGGAAAACACAAAAGGTCTTCTAGTTGCTTAATGGTCTGACATCTACAGTTCTCTGAATTCCTCTTAGCTGAATTGTACTTGGAGGGCTGTGATTGAGGTGCCTTATTATTGACCATATGCTTTGGTGAATTTTCTCTGTCTTAATCATTTGGAGTCTCACAGCTGTGCTTTTCCATATGCCTGAACTTATGCTGTCTTCTGAAGAGTCTTTCCATGTTGGTCTATCTCCATATTGATATTTTTGTAGAATGAAGTTACAGATCTAATTGAAAACCATTTTCTGTATTGCGTTAACTTAGAAAACACCAAGTTCAGGTCTGTTTGGAATCCATGCCACAGGCATGGAAGAAGGTTGCATTTTTCATCCTGTTTCCCACAGAATAAAGAACAGTGCCAGGAGGGACGAGTTGGTAGGCTGTGCTGTGGAAGCTTCTACTGCCTATGACAATATTATTGGTGCCATCAAGGCAGCAGAGGAGGCAGCCAACCAAGCTGGGAAAGCAGCTGACTCAGCTTTATCAGTAAGTATCAGTAAGTGGCCAAATCATGGTAAAGTTGTTAAAACTGGATTTTTATTTTATTTAACTATCGAAGAAGCCCCAAAATCAAACACCTGTGTGTTTGGCATGCTTTATTTTTCCGTGACCTTTTATATGGGTTGTTGTTCTGCATGTTGATTAATTAGTCTTGGCTCAGCACTAACCAGGCCAATTACTGTCTTTCTGATGAGACTGCCCATATGAGTACTGACTGTTGCTTTCAGTGTAAAAATAAAGAGATCTTACAAGGCAAGCCTGGTAATCACTGCAGGTGATTTCAGGTATTTTCTTTTACTCTGCACTACTAATACCCACAAGCTTTTCAGCAGAGGTATAATATCCAACAGCTGTATGCTGGCAATTTCCTCTTAGCGCCCTAAAATCCATTTTAAGATTGCTAAAGACCAAGGCTGTAGTATGCTTGAATTAATCTGGGTAGTTTTTGCTAAAAGTTATGTTCTTCAGATGAGATCTCAGTAGAATTGGGGGTTCTTTAAATTGGATTGGGCTCTCTCTTTTACTCTTTAAATTTTAATGTAATTATCAAGTGATCTTACAGTACCATGCTTTTATTGTCAGACTGTGAAGAGAGAAGACCTATCAGGAAAAGCTGCAAGGTTAAAAACTGAGAGCAGTGCACTCATGGATCAAGCACAGGAGACCAAAAAGACATTGCAAGGTACTAAGAAAGAAAGTGGTACTAGTAAAATTGACACAGCATGAGAAATTTTCCTTGAATCATAAATTTTCACATCTCAGCAAAGCCCTTCAGCAGTCGTTCAATGAAAAAATGCAAGTTCCATTACAGTGGGACTTTTTGTCATGGTTATTCCCTATGGCAAAAAGGCAAGAAAGTAGATTTCTAGCTTCTGCTATGCTATACACCTTTGCAGTCCTCCTGTCCAGCAAATTCTTTGCCTTGTACTTGTTTTGCAGTGGACTTAATGCTCAGTGGCAGCATGAGCTGTATAAAAGTGTAGACAAGTGCTGCAACACCATCAACAGAAAATTGATATTTTTCTTTAAAATGCTCATGGGGCATTCACTGTTTTGCAGCTATTGGTCCTAACCTTGAAGACCTAAAGCAAAGACTTGATGTCACTGATGGAAAGACGAATGCACTGAAAATTGATCTTGTCACTGCTCAAAATAATCTCAATGGGATAAACAGAGGTTTGTTACCTAGGGATCACTTCTGGCCTGCCCCTTTCATTTGTTACCGTAAGAATTTGCATGTTCATTTCTGTGTGTTTCAGGTGACATTGACAGCATCATCACCAGTGCACGGAGCATGGCAGAAAATGCCAACTCTGTCACCAATAGTGTGTTGGGTGAGCTGGTCCCAATTGAAGCAGAAGTGGAAAGAATTAGGAGCAACTATGGAAGCACACAAAGTGCCAGCTTCAATAAAGCACTGATGGAGGCAAACAATTCAGGTATTGCAGGTGCTGTGTGTGACCTGCCAAATCACTGTAAGGCTGAACACGGCCAGTTTGCAGCAGAAGCTTTAATCACTCAAAAGTTAGGCATGTACCCTAAACTAGGGCTTTGAACTTCTTTTATGGCCAGTAGAAAGGGACAGGAACAGCAGAAAATCACTCAGGCCAGTCTGTGGTATGTGTTAAAATCTAGTGCCATGACTGGTCTCTAAAGATTTGGAGGCCAGGACTAATGGGGGACCTCAAGGGTCAATACTGGGTCTGATCGTGTTCAACATATTTATTAATAATCTGGATGATGGGGCAGAGTTGCCTCAGCATGTGTGCTCCTGATGTGCTCCTAAACTGGAACAGTGGCTGATACACCAGAGGGTCGTGCTGCCATCCAGACAAACCTCCACAGGCTGTGGAAATAAACTGCCAGGAACCTCATGGAGTCCAAAAATGGAAAGTCCTGCACCTGAGGAGAAATAGACCCATGTACCACTATAGGCTGAGTAGGTGGCCAAGATGGAAAAAAACTTGGTAGAAAAGGACCTAGGGGTCTTGGTGGGCACGAAGTTGAAGATGAGCCTGCATTGTGTGCCTGGGGTAAAAGGTTGAAACACAGGAGATTCTGTCTGAATGTCGCCCTGATTCTTAAGATTTTCTAAAGCCTTCTGAGTTTACATTCTGCTAGAAAACTTTCCCACACAATTTCTATAAACAACATATTGTTTTGCATTCCTTCATGGGGGTGGAGAAACTTGATGTACTAGTGGTTTGTCCAATGTCTTTGGAGAGGTGGCCCATTCACTCTCCAATCCACTGTCACCTTTGAAAAAGTATAAAAGTTGGAGTCAGAGAATAAACTTTTCTCTTTACCTTGAAAATAGCAGGTGGCTCGCCTTGTGCTTTCACGTGTCCTATAGCGACATCTGAACATGGCAAAACAGTTATTTTACTGTGAGAGTGACTGAGTACTAGCAGAGGTTGCCCAGAGAGGTTGTGTAGTCTCATCCTTGGGAATATTCAGAAGCCTGCCTAGACACAGTTCTGGACTACTGGACCTAGCTGGCCCTGCTTGAACACAGGGATTAGACACTGTGACCTCCAGAGGTTCCTTCCAACCTCAGTTGCTCTGTGATTATGTGATTTTCTACTACATTGGATAGAGAAAGGTCCTAGACTATTATCTTAGGCTACATGTCTGTTAACTGAAATTAAGTGGAAAGGATTGCACAGAGCCAATGCTGAATACAAAAGAAGGGTCAATCATATTCCCAAACAACTTCATTTTACATCTTTTCAGCATCTTTATCTGATTAAGTTAAGCAAGAGGAAAATATTTTAAATAATATAAATACAAGACCTAGTCCTGCATGGTACTGCAGGGTTGTAAGTCATACCTACAGTTGCAAAACTGGTTTAAAGTCATATTTAGAAAAACAAAAACCCGATTACATTTTATTTGTCTTCTGCATAATTGGGTTGGAGTCTGTAAATACTTTCAGAGTGTTTTTTGGTTTTTTTGTTTTGGTTTTGGCTTTTTGCAGTCACAGGAGATGAGAAATTGCTTTCTATTATAACAAAAGTTGAAATTCTCATAATATTTTCTTTTCTCTGAAATAAACCTGGCCAGATACTGTAAGATTCACTTCTAAACTGTGCTGATTAGCAACCTTGACACAAGAATATAATTAATGTCCTACTCAGTCAGGCCAGTAGTCTGCCTACCCCATTATTCACTCTCTGACAATGGCAGTAGGAGATGCTACGAGTCTGAGTCCTTTCTGCTCTCCTTTATTCTCATTCTTCCCTAGCATCCACGGCCACTGGGTAATAATGTCAGAGACCACATCGCTGTTCTGTTTAATCCTTTTTTTCTGGACCTTTGCCTAAAACATTTTTGGAAGTGCTGATTCTTACTGCTTCTGTAAATTCCTTTGGACAAAAATTTCAGGAGTACAATAACCTCTCTATAAACTGCTACTTTTAGTGAGAGCTTCCTAATATTGTAGGACCAGTCAAAACAGTTTTGTCATTACCCTGTCCACTGCTTTTCTGATACTTGTGTAGTGATACCAATTTTTTTGCATCTTGTTTTCCTCCTTCTTTTTGATGTCAATGATTTGCTTTCTTTCATTCCAGTAAAAAATTTGACAAACCAACTTCCAGATCTGTTCAGCAAGATCAAGAGTATCAACCAACAGCTGATGCCAATAAGCAACATCTCTGAGAACATAAATCGTATAAGAGAGCTGATTCAGCAGGCAAGAGATGCTGCAAATAAGGTCTGTCCTGAGCATTGCAATCACTCTTGACCTCAGTTGTTTGGATACACAACAGTACTTTTGTTCCTCTTTCTAAATAATTTTATTTCAATGTGTGTGAGAGACCAGATATAAATTTAATTCAACAGCACTACCCAGGAACTGAAGTAACTGTGGTGATGGGAAGCATAATAATTCATATACAAAAATGACAGGATGTAGTAGCATCCTGCTACATCTTTCTCCCATTCATTTTTTTCCCCAGGGCACCTCTGTAATACTTATTTGTACATCAGCCTCTTTCCTTCCAAGGTACATTGTGGTGGCTTTGGCAGCAGGGGCAGAGTTGGCTCTGCTGCTTAGAGACGGGCTCTCCACCCATGCGTGGTCAATTGAAAGCTGATGCTGCCAAAGAAATTGTGTAGCCCTGTTACTCCAGCTACTCCAAAATGTTAGAAATTGGCTACTGGCACCTTATTAGATTACCCTTTCTCATTTAAGGAACTGCTGTAGTTGCTGAAATGATAGTGTGGTCTCAGGTACTAAGAACCATCCCTGAGATCATCACAAATAGCCAAGATTTACAGGGAATAAGAGGAGTCGGGGATCAGGGTGTATTTAGCTGTAATAAGATGTGTCTTTATAATATCAGAGGTGCATTGTAATTCCCAACAGACAGTCAAGTCCAGCTAAGTGAAGCACCAGGATGTGTCTGTAGACATCTAAATAATTCATAAACTTGTTCTTCAGAGCTGCAGGGCACATCCTTCCCTGTCTGTGTATTGAAGAGGCACAGTAAGGGTTGATTAATTGATGTCTGGAACAAAAAAGTGCTGTGTTAAGTATTGATAATACAGACTACTGCATTATCCACTCTGTTTCCTAATTATTTTGTCTGGTAGGATTAGAGTCCAAATCTGTGGTAATTAATGGTTGAAACATGACTAGGATGTGTAATGGGTTACTTTGCAATTAGACACACCAGTGAAACATGAGTAGTGACAATACTTAATTGTAACATACTCAACTTTGGTTTTTTAACAGGTTGCTATTCCTATGAGGTTCAATGGCAGCTCTGGTGTAGAGGTTCGACCTCCGAGCAACCTTGAAGATCTAAAGGGCTATACTTCACTTTCCTTATTTATCCAGAGACCTCAGCAAAGATCAGACACACAGCAGAGGGCAAATAGATTTGTCCTGTACCTGGGTAATAAAAATGTAGGTATATTTTAATATTTAATCTGATTTTAAGACCAGACATCATGTTTTGAGAAAAAGATGGGAAGTGATCTATTCTGACTAATGTTTGTAGCTATTGTTGGCCTATTTCTTTAAAACTGCATTTAAGTAGTGGTAGAAGTATTATGTTCATTCCTTCCCTGGCAAAGTAAATAACAAGAGGCTGAGACCTTTGATGCTTTGTTCTGTTGCTCTTTTGGAAGTTGTTTCTCCATCATGGATACCATCACACATTCTTATCAGACCTGTCAGTTTCTGCAGCAGTCAGCACAAACTCAGCCCAACTTCTGCCTCAGAGCTTTGACTCTTATCACAATATAAGTTACTCTGAGTTTTTCTGTTGGTTAAAAAAAAAAAAAAAAGTGATCATTCAAGTTTTGAAATTCAGTCTCTCAGCTCTTAATATTTTTGTCTTCTAAATATGCAGAATAATGCAGACCTGCTTGTACATTCAGGTTTGCTCAATCATCATCAAACATTTTAAAAATTTCCTGCATGTGGTTTCTAGTCTTGTTCTTTGACAGCAGCTATAACTGTAGTAAGCCTTGTGCCTACATAGAAAGCTGTTAGAGGTTTTTGTTCTATACTGGATTTCATCTTTTTTATCCTCTGAATTACTAGCCAGGACATCCGTTGAAAGGATTTAATGATTACTTCTGAAATACAGTATTTTGAAGAAATAAAATGTGGTTTTTTGGGGAAAATGACTGCTCCCAGTCACCTCAGTAGGAACCATTGTTCTTCATTGCATATTGTTCTGAACATCTTTTTTATGTCACAGATGTTGAGTCTAATTCTTAGTAAAGGTGCCATGTTTTCATAGCTTTAGCTGGGAGATGTTATAAGTGAGAAAAATATTTTAGATACTGTTGCTACAAAAACAAAAAGTGACATATATCTATATTCATTGAAGCAGTGCAACATATAGGATTACAATTTTTCCTTCCCAGAACTGATAAACTTAATTCTCATCATCAGGTGGGTGGATTTCTTATGACTCATGCACTGCATGATGATATTTCTGAGGAAGTGCTGCTGTATTTTGCCCTAATTATAATTAATCATTTATTAATTATTATTTACTTGCTATTTTTAGGCTTCCAAGGACTACATTGGTATGGCTGTGAAAGATGGTTACCTTACTTGTGTCTATAACCTGGGAGGTGGTGATGGGGAAGTGAGGGTGCAGTCATTGGTGACTCAAAGTGACACTGAGGAAGCTGTTATGGATCAAGTTACATTTGAAAGGTATAAGACCCACAGTGTAGAACAATCTTCTTGAATACCTGCTAACAACATCTTTTATTAGTGTGATGTGATATTCTGCCTGTTTTGGTTTTAGGATTTACCAGTATGCAAAGCTGAGGTACATCAAAGCAGCAACATCAACTTCTCCAGATTATGAAAGCCCTAGGAGTGCAAGCAGTGGAGACAGTGACATGCTTCTCAATCTTGATCCCAGCAGTGTTGTCTTTTATGTTGGAGGATACCCACCAGATTTTAGGGTACAGAGTTTCTTAGTGTTTTACAAAGATTTTGTGTTAATCATCCCATTGTTCTTACAAGTAAAGATTGGACCCAGCAGTCTTTCAAAAGCATGTGTAAAAGTTTATCTATGTCAGTAGGAATAGATGAGATGCAAGGAGGTACTGCTTCCTACAGAACCTGCCTGGCTTGTACCATGTTAAACCTCAAAGAAATGAGCATATTTCATTGCCAAGGAAAGCATGAAACCTGTCCAGCCCTGCTAAATACTGTTCCCAATCCATATTACTCTACCTTAAATTGTTCTGCACTATACCTAGGGTCGTATCAGATAATTTGGGTATTATATACAAGTATGCAGTATTTCTTTTTGCATGTTTAGAATGTCATATTCTGTGTCTTAATAATAGTTGCAGTAAGTCTTAGCAGTTAGATAGCAATGTAAAATTCTGTTAGCTGATGTTGATGAAATGGTTTTAATGACTCTGTTTTGCAGCCTCCAGATAAGCTCAACTATCCTCGTTATGAAGGCTGCATTGAATTAAACAGCCTAAATGAGCATATTGTCAGCCTTTACAACTTCAAGAGGACTTTTAATCTCAACACCACTGAAGTGCAACCCTGCAGAAGGTATGATATGAACACAGAAGTGTTTCACAGTTCTGTGATTTTAATATTATGAATTCTTGTCTTTCATATCCATAAGTATTACCACTGTAGCTAAATTGGTGATATTTTTCTAATTCTTGGCCATTATTGCATTTCTTAGAGAAAATCCTCAGTAATAACACAATTCACATCTATGGCAATCTCAATCTGTTTAAATTTAAGTGTTATAAAATCCAGACACAATTTGTAGACTAATGTGTTCATCTGCTTTATAAAATAAATATTACATTAAGTTCAAAAAGTACAGTCATTAATGACTTCCTCTCTAAAGACCATTTGTGATTTTGACAGAAGCCAGTGGAAGGTTTTCTGTCTTGTGTTAGATCAGAATTTGGCCCTATACCAAATGCTTTAACTTAAGCTTTTTAAAATTTATAATGGCAGTAAGTCCACGTGGTATAAGTTTTTGCTGACATATATTCACACCTGTGACAATGAATTATTACAGGTATAAAGAGGAGACTGACCAAAGCTATTTTGAGGGCACTGGTTATGCCAGTGTCACAGCGGGAGAAAGAAGTGGTGAACGAGTACGGTACGAGCAGACAATTGAGACGACTGCAGATGAAGGCATTGTGTTCTTTGCAGCAAATGGGGTAATGTGTGGAATGCTTCTGTCTGTTCTGTAGTGCAAGAACATCTTAAAAATCTTGCTTATTAAAGAACATGTTAGATATAGTAATAACTGTAAGGAAATAAATGTGTTAAGTGTTAATAAAGATGTCTTAAAAGTGTTATCTTCACCCTGTGTGGAAAATTAATAGATATTGCTGTATGTTTAATATCATATGGTTTAGTCTTCAGTAGTTGTGCAAGAAACAGGGAGTTGGACTTATGGGTCCCTTCCAGTTTGAGATACTCAGTGATTCTACCATGGTTGAAAAATACTCATTTTGTCAAGTATGAGTAAAAAACCATTCCAAGAAGCTCCTCCCTTAGGCCATGCAGAGAATTCAGAACTGGAGGCAGGAAAGGAGGAATGTAATTGAGATCAAACCAATGTTGGAATATTGAAATCCTCCAAAATTGCAAGTGCACTCTTCCCAAATCTAGATATGTGTGGAAACAGAGTAAGAAGGAATTTAGGAAGTGACATGATGACATGCCTGTCAAGATGCTCAAAACCACAATGCTGCTACTTATCTAATAATCTTGTAGGTGTATTTGCAAACACTGGATGATTTTTGCAATTCTGGGTAATTTTTCAATGCTGTAAAAAGTCAGTAAATATTTGAAATGACACAAAGTCCTTTAGAGATTTGGAGCTGATACCAGATCTGTTTATAATAGTTTAAATTAATTATGATTGATTAGTATAAGTTTTAGGCTTTGTGTTATCCTTTCCCCAAAAAGCTTTCTAGAAGCTACTAGATAGCTTCATTAAAAATATTCGTATGATGTGAAATACACATCTGAAATTGTGGCAGTTTAATTGTGCTGGTGGTTTTTTTTTATTGCAGGATCAGTTCATCAGTGTGCTCATTAGAAATGGTCATAGAGTTTTTAGATACAAACTTCACTCTGAAACTCCAGAAGAAGTAGAAGCCAAAAAAACAGTAAATGATGGAACATATCAACAAGTATGTAATTTTAAAGAATCAAGAGATCATTATTCGTAAAAATACACATTAACTGAAACTGTCCTGATGGAAAGCTTAGTTGTTGAGTTTTCCTTTTGTGTGAGGAAATCAAGTCACTGGGGACTAGTTTGGAGATGTGAAAATTAATCTTTCTCTTGTCCTGCTTAAATGTGAATAGTTAAGTTTTAACAGTGAAACCGCCAAAGGAAAAAATTTGTCAGAGCAATGCTTTACATAAAGATAACTATATTGATAGCAATTATTTGCATTAGTTTCATACTTAGATTAGTGTTTTCATCATCGAAGGGTTTATTTCTTTAGGATGGGCTGATCTTTATAGAGATTACTCTTTTGCAATGTTTGCTGTTGCTTGTCTCCTCAGCTTCAGTCTCCTTAGCTACTCTTGTAGCACTACCAGAGTGAAATCATAGAGACACTTTTAAAAACCTTTGATTTCCTTGTTGGTTAGTTCTCCCGTTTCCCCTTAATATATTTCTAACTAAACAGTGTAAACTGCAGGGTCTGCTGCAAGGAATCTTTATGCTCTACTGGGTTAAGTTACCTTCAGCCAGCTGACTGACTTAGTTTTTGTATCAGGCAGCAGCTTCTGAATCTTCAGCTGCAAAGACAATACAATATCTGAATCTCAGGTGAGATGTGTTTTTAGGACAATCTGTCAGACGAAAATAAAACCTCATCTTGCATTTGGATAGTTGAACATTTTCCTTGCTTTTACTAAATGTCCCAAGTTTGCAAAGTACCTTTGAACTACTGCAGTTGTCCTTGATTTAAGTCACTAGTAAACAAGAGGAGGGGGAAAAAAGCATCCCAGTGTCCTGCTCTATGGGGGTACTTTTAATCAGGTAAATGATTGTTGTTTCTGCCAAGTGAAGTGATTCTCATTATTAATGTATTTCAGATTAATTTGGTGCTTGACCGAAGAAACAAAGTTGTGTATGTCAGTCCTGGTATTAGAGCCAACATACAAGTCTTCAATTTCACTGAGTACTACCTAGGTGGAGTTCCATCTTTTTTACGGGAACAGTGAGTAACTGTAAAAAGACTGTAATATACTGTCTTTGTCAGGAAACTCCATCAAAACTCTTTCCTTACACAATTTCTTTTACACTCTGTATTGACTATCTAATGTGACATAAAAAAAAACACGTTTATAATAATACATGATCATAATCTGTGATTTTTGGCTAATGGTGAAATCTTTGTTGTAGCTCATTCTAAAGATTGGGGTTGATTAGCATGTGTATGTGTACACAAGAAGGATTGCTCTTGTTTTCTTTTTCTATTTCTTATATTGTCAGCATTTATAGGTTACTACAGTGGTGTGTGCTTTGAAATGCCAGGCTACTGAACTCTTTTGCCTTCCCCTCCCTGAAACCAGGTTTAATATATCCACACCTCCATTCCGCGGCTGCATGAAGAATGTGAAAAACCCAAGCACTGCATCTGTTGTTTTTGATAAAACTTTTGGTGTCAGCAAGAAATGTTCAGATGACTGGAAGGTAACTAATACATTTCCTCAAAAACTTCTGCTGGAGTTCACAGACTGGTTTGTCTATAAATCCTGGACCATTATGTTTTGCTTAGGTCAAAAATTATATTTGGTAAACATGTGATGGCAATAAACGAACCTGGATTGGGTGTGAAGCTGCAGAAATAAGAGACACCAGCCCTATTGTTACAGCTTGTTACAGCACATAGTCCACCTTCTTATTTAATACTGTTTACAGTCACCTTCGTATTTAATACTGTTTACAGTTAGGTATTTGTATTTACCATGTAAGCTTGTTGGCTTCCAGATGCTGTTATTAATTAGGCTGGAATACTTAATACTACTCTGTATCTTTCCTCCTGCCAAGGTGTTTATGCTTCCTCATTAAATGACCCCTCAGCCTTTTAGCCTTTTTTCTTAAAAGATCTTAACAGACGACTTCCACCAAAGTCTCTCATTCTAAGGCTCCGCTCATCTAATTGTTTTGTAATTATTTTCTGTGCATCCTTGAGTTTTGCCGTGTTCTTTTTAAAATGGGACAACATGACATTTCAGTGCTGGCTTAACTAGTGCTTCATGGAGAGATGAAAACTATTCATCTGCTTCTACTTACTGCTGCTTACATGGTGCATGAGCTCATTTGCCTTTTTTACTACAGTATTGCACTGAAAGTTTGTGCTTATTTTCTTTTACTTGTGGCATCTAAACCTTTCACAGAGCAATTTCTTCACAAAGTACCCTTGCAGAGTATCTAATCTTCATTCTCTGTATCTTCTCATGTATTAAAAAGTGTCCCATGACTCACAGTTTCAATTACGTAGCTCATCTGCACAGCTTCATAGTTATGATCTATACTTCCAGCTACTCAGTTTTGTGTCCTCAAACGTGAAAACTTTAAAGCTACAGTAGCTAAAGATGAGCAGCTCATTATTCTCAGCAAGCTTCCTCTCTCTTTTTAGAGTTTCTCAGACCATAGTTAATGCTGGTGAAGCCAACTCTGATAGTCTGTTCTGTACTGAAGTAATGGTTTTTGAGGTTTGCCTTGTGCTTGGTTTTGACTGGAGCTGATTACAATTATGTTGAGTGGGGCAGCTATTATCTCATGTTGGCATTTCTTCTGATTAAGAGGAAAATCACTGAAATCATTATTTTTCTTTCTTTCAGCTTGTCAGGTCTGCAGCTTTCTCCAAGGATGGAACACTGAGCCTTAGTGCAGCAGATTTCCCATTTCCAAAGGATTTCCAAGTGGGCTTTGGCTTTCAGACAACAGCTTCTTCTGGAACACTCTTAAATTACAACCTACGGGTATGAAACACATTGAACTTAGCACGTGTGATGGGTTTTATCTCTGAATCAGTCATTTCAGTTTGTATCATAAGTCTCATGTAGATTCCCGTATTTTAAGGTAAGAAATACCTTTTTGAGTGTGGCATTGTTCCTGTCATAGATCAGAGAAGTGCATTCTGGCAGTTTCTTCACATGGCCAACAAGTAGTTTGATGAGTAACTGAGCTTTGAACTAGAGCCTTCTGAAGAGTAGCTCACACACCTGACACCACCATCCCAGTAAGAAAACTGGTGTTTAATTGGCTGGAAGTTTTCTCAAGATAAAATGGGCACTCTGCCCACACAGAAATGTTACCATATACAAATAGGCAGAGGAAAGGGATTGGTTCTGGCTATGATCTCTCAGAAAGCAGGGAAGTTTAAATAGAACCCCATTTTGGCTGGCTGGAGGAGCTAAGTGAGTGCATACCAGGTATTTAAGAAGTGGAAAACTGGCTTGTCTGCTTTATGTAAAAATAAGCAAGTATTTAAAATAAATATTTGTTATTCAGAGTGCAGATGTATTTTGAAATGGAAGCTGTGCTCATCATGCAGGACTTAGTACACATCTGGTGCTAGATGACTGGGAATGCAGTTCTAGTGTAAGAAAATTTGTTGCCTACTGGCACCCACTGAGAGCTCTATTGCTGGTAGGACCAAGAGCTAAAGGCTTTTGCATTTATTTAGCTGATCATTTTGTGGGATTTTTTTGTAGCCTGATGTTCTTTCCATATTTCTGAGTCCTGGCTCTGTAACTGCAAAGATACGAGATAAGGAAATTAAACTGGAAAAAAAATATGAAGATGGATCAATGCATTATGTGACAGTAATAAAAATAGGCAACAGGTGAGTCCAACTCTTCATCTAGTTCTTATATGTTGTGGTTGGAGAAAGGAAATTCAAATTTTGTGGGACTAATTCTTTTGATAAACAGCTTAAAATGGTCTCTTCTAGCAGAGGATATCTAAATAATGAAGGGAAAGGAGATTTTTTTTCCATGAATGTGCATGCTCATACCTGGGATGCTTCAGCTGTACCCCACTATGCTTTTCTTTTATAGATTGTGTGAGTTTTGACTGCTTGTCTAGCTGGAGCTTTGGAGTCTTTGGAGCTCTTCCCCTTCCCATAACCTTCATGTGTGTCCCTGTAAAGGACCAGGGAAGAAGCAAATGCTGTGTCTGTTTTTTCAACAGATCATTATCTGTTATGCAGATGTTAGAAGAGACAATTTACTAAAAAGTTCCTAAATCATACTGATTGCTGTGTAATGCATGAAATTATGTAAGTGTTAGCTGAAGGGGAAAGTTTTGAATTGTTGGCTATAACTTTAGGTGATCATAATTAATACTGCTCATTTCATTTTGACACAAATAATTAAATCCTGTCCCATAGTTGACAATGAGAGCTTTTTTATGAGTTTCAGTTGCTCCAGTATTTCAACGTAGGACTGAACTTCAACTCTTGCTCATTATCTAATATGGAAAAGCATAGCAATTTCACAGCAGTCAATAAGCACATACTGAAAAAGTCCCAGAAGTAAGCTAATGAAGTTTTAGCATAATCACCATGTAACAAAGAAACAAAACTGTCAAATGGTTATTTTATATTTTTAAAATTTAGTTTCCTAATTATTTGTTTATATATCATGCTTGTTTTCATTCGCTTTTTTCAGAGTACATATGATGGTTGATGATGAGTCAAAAGCAATTGACTCTCCCAGGTCATCCAGCTCACAGGAATCAAACAGACCTATAAAATTTGGTGGAGATAATTTTGAAGGTTGCATCTCAAACATCTTTATTGAAAGGTATTTGGCCTTGAAAGAATTATGTTTCATGAATTTTGTCCTGATCTCTTTCTTAAATCATATTAAAATACGTTTTGCTAAAATGAATATTTTTCTTCTACATGTGTGAAGCCTTCATGAATGCACAACTTTGCTGCCCTCAAATATTCTTTCATTCAGGCATATTATACATGGGATCCAGTTATAATTAAATCTGCTGTTCAGGTGTAAAGGAATTTTAGTCTAAATCATACCTGTTTAGCAGTCTGTTAGCCAAAGAACGAGCTCTGCAGAGTGAATTGATATGTCCCAACAAGGCACCCAAAAAGATTTGCTAAATTGTCTTGTTATAGCTCCCCAGGGAACCAGGTGGTGAAAGGAGCAAAGCTACTGACAGAATCAAAACAGTTACACAAACAAGTGACACCATATGTGTAGAAATCATCTGCCTTATTTAGGCTGTCTCTTTTTTTCACCTGTTTGTCTGATTATTAGAGACACATTACATGCAAAAAATAGGAGAAAAAACATGCATAAATATGTTTCTAGACGACAAGCATTCCATGAGTCATAAGTCATGTCCCAGTGGGACTTCGTGTTAGCTAAGTTTTGATGAGTATTTATACATATGTAGAGTTTTCAAAGAGTAGTGTATTTTGATTTGATTATCATACCACCACAGGATGGGATGGAGTGGAAGGCACCGTTAAAGATCCTCTAGTTTTAGCTCCCTGCAATGGGCAGGGACATTTTCCACTAGACCAGGCTGCTCAAATTATGTTTTCATTTAAAGCACTACAAGGCAATCAATGCCAAGATTATTTTTTCCCTTTTCTTTTATATACCTTTTATGTATCCTCAGTACTCCTAGCATGTATACTTGTAATTCCTTAAGTCTGGTAACTCAGCATAGCCCTAGTAGTCTGTTAAGCCAGGAGACCAAACATCCTAAAGGTCTCATAGTAGGAGGCTGGAAAGCCCCGCACTGTCTTGAGAAACCAAGGCCCCCTCTAGAACATATCCTCCAAACTAAGATTCTGCCCATCCGGGGGGGAATTCCTTGGATGGGGGAATATCACACCATTCATCCAAGCCTCCCATTGGGGCATCCTTGTTAGATATCCAAATTTGTAACCTCTATGAATTGCAAATGTAATTTTATCATGTGTGTTCATTGGGGTGCGTCCCACCTTGGTGAGGTTGTGCACCATAAGGAACCTTATTAAAATACCTAGGTAAAAACCCCTTATCCCTTAATCTTGTCTCGTTCTCAATTTTTTTAAGACCAGGAAAAGGCCTCAGAAGTAACCTATATATTAAACTTCCCATCAGAAAACAAATTTGGAAAGTTTTGTGCCAAATTAGTGAAGAATAAATACTGTAGCTGGTCTGATGGAGTGAATGGAGAATGATCAGCATTAAATAAGTTCAGGTTCTACTCAAAAATCTACCACTCTTCTCATAGAAAACCACAAGCAATGAGCTTTGTAGCTTTTTTGTCGTTTTTTTAGTAAAATTTTTTGTAATTCACTGATTAGAGATGCTTTGTACAACTTAGAAAATTGTAGTATTGCTTAATATTATTCTTTATACACAGGGTAAATTGGCTTTTACTTATCAACTGGCTTATAAATTGTCTTATAAATGGGCTTATCAGTCTTTCTGATAATTTGGTTATAGCATTAGAGGTGCATGTGAAGTTGTGACAGGCTTTGTCCCTTGACAAAACTCATTAGAACATCTTATTTAAGGAGAGAGTGAAGCAGAACCTGATGATGTTATATTTTCTTGGTTTGAAATTACTTATGTATAATTACCAATCAAAGCTTTATAGTCTGATTCAGAAATCTTAATCAAGGCTGCTGTAATTTTTTTCTCTTTTTTCAAGAGCCATATATGTTTGTTTTTTAATAGCTTTTAGTGAAAATTACTTTGTTTAGAAAAAATGAGAACAAAATTAGAGTTTTCCTATAGCCAAAAAGAAATTAGCAGAACCAGGGAAAATATGATTTACAGCATTGAATGTACATTTTTTGTTGAAAACTAAAAATTGGTACTTTACTATTGTGTCACTGGGAAATATATTTTGTGCAGAACACATTTTTACAATGTGTTTGTTGTTGATTACACTAAAAAAAGGAATGCTGAGCCACAGCACTTATTGCTTTAAATCACAACAGGGCAGGTCAGCTCCCCGAGGTTCAAAATCTTGTTGCTAATACTGGCAAGACTGGTGTGTCCCTCGGAGCTTGCCAGGAATACGAAAACCTTGAACCAATGCTGCTGCAGGAATTTAAAAATCCTCTCAGGCTCAAGATGCTCAAGGTATGCTTCTTGTTACTGTCATCTTTGCTCCACATTGTTGCCCAGGTTTTCCATCATTTCCGGAACTGAGATTCAGATGTTCTTTCATTTCCTTCCATCTCACATCTGAAGCAAATTCTCACTGTGTTGGAGTTTAGGGAAGACTGTTTACTGCCTTGGTTGGGAGGTCTTAAATGTATTCATTTAAATGTTTCTATTTATGTGCACATATGATGAATGTTTCAATTCTGTCTTATGTGCACAGAATGAAAAATACCTTGATTATTTGAAAGCTGCTAACATTCAAAACCACACTATACCAGCTCCATTATATGGCAGCAGTGAAGCATATCTCCTTGGAAGCATCCCCAACAGTTTCATATCCTACATGTTTTCTCCATTGTTATCCACAGACAGGTAATAAAAATGTTCTCTGTTCTCCTCCTAGTACTTGAATTGTCAAAGCTGCTTGACTCTTAGGGCGCTAAGTGTAAGGATTTTCTTCTTGTTTATGTCTTGGGCCATAACAGAAAGTGTTTCTAAAAGTTCAGGCTTTTTTTTTTTCCTGTGCAGACATTTACCTAAACTGAGTAGATTGAATGGGACATGGTGGACAATTACAATGCATGTTCATGCCAGTTCCTAAGCCTGAATGTGTTACGTTTCATTCACATTCAGAAACACAGTGTATAATGCCATGATTCCACCCAAATGCTATTCTGCATTTCACAAATGGAGTTTCACTGGAGAACAGGAAAGATACAATTAACAAAATACACCTATACTGGAATATGCTTACTTTCCACTACAGGTTACATTTCTCTGTAGATGTACGGACTCGATCATCAAGAGGATTAATAGTTTTCATGGAGGAAAGCTCTGAGGACTCTTATATGGCTCTCCACATTTCAAAAGGACGATTTGTCTTTTCACTTGGCTCTGGAGAAAAACAAATCAAAGTCAAAACCAATATTAAATACAATGATGGGCAATGGCACACTGTAAGTATCATTTATCACTGGAACCACAGTGATAACTAGCATTCAGCAGGCGCAGCCTGCTGAATAGGAGCTCAGTTTTGGTCATTGGAAATTAATTCCTATGCCTGAAAGTTCATGTGGTTGACAGGTCTCTGAGAGATCTTATTGAGACTGATCACTCCAGGATGTTATTTTCAGTTTAAATGTTTTAACAACATGATGTTTAATTTAAAGACAAAAAAAAAAAAATTCTGCAGTGGCTTTTGTTGGCTTTTGGGTTTTTTATTCTGTTACATTTGCCTCCTGGAAAGGTGGTCTTCAGCACAGATGGGAAGAACGCCCGCCTTGTTGTTGATGGTCTAAGGTCCCAGCACAGAAAATTGGTAACAAATTCTGCCATCAACATTAGGCCACCAGTGTATGTGGGAGGGCTGCCACCACTAAAGAGACAGGTAAATAATTGACAAATCCACCCACACACACTCCTCATGCTGCAATAATTATATGGGAAAGTCTTTAATACACAGGATTTCAGTGCTGAAAATTTTTAGGGAGGATTTTCAAGGGCCACGTGAGCACCATCTGTGACTGGTGTTTGCAGTGGTTAATTACAGATCTTTTTCCTCACCTGTTCACACAGCCTTCACCTGTACTTGTATTTTCAATATGTTGTTGAGACACTGATGACAACCATGTATTCTTTTAATTTTTATTCCTTAAAAATGGAGAAGACCAAAGTCACATTTTTAATTCCAGAAATACCATCTTTTGGCAGAACATTTACCTCAGTGGACTAAGTAATAATCAGTAGAAAAGCAAAAGAATTATTCTCATCAAGGAGTTATGGATGTAGAACTGATGGATGGATTTGAATCTGAAATATGTACAGTTTCTATTTTAAAAAGGGAACAGTTAATGATCCAGGGTATTTTATAAAATCAGATTTAAATAAACAGACTTAGGAAGGGAAGGGTTGCTTCAGGAATTTCACAATTCCTCTTGCATTATCTTTTTGACACATCATTGGGAAATATCTGTTTTACAAGCAGGAGTCATGTTAATTCAAAATCCACTCTTACTGGGTTTCAAGCACTTTTTTAGAATTTTGGATTACCTTTTCACTGCATCAAAGATGGGTGTTAAGTGCCTTTAGTGCCTGTTGGCATTCTATAGTCCAACAGTCCAAAGGAACCAATGTTTAGTATTACTGCTGAAAAAACAAAAAGCTATAATGCTTCAGTATTCATGTTTTGAAATATGCTTTCAGAATATGCCAATGAAGAGTTTCAAGGGTTGCCTGAGGAATTTTAAGATGAATGGAAAAGCCATGAATGCACCTCAACAAAAAAATGGCATACTTCCATGTCTGGATGTTCCTATGGACACAGGAATTTACTTCTTTAATGAAGGAGGATATATCACCATTGGTAAGCATAGAGATTATGGTACATGGAATTGTCTGAAGCATGTAGGTACATGGGTTACTTGTTTTCACGTGGTTTTCCAATTATTTCTACCTATGATCATCCCTCTCCCCATTGTTTAATTGTCCACAGGTAATTTGCTGATGAGTGTGGATTTCAAGATTGTATTTACCATTCGACCAAGGAGTTCTACTGGTGTACTCCTCCATGCTGGAAGCAAGCAAGACAACTACTTGACTGTTTACATGAAGGGAGGGAAGGTGGGTACAGACTGTGTCCATTCCAGCTGTATTGCCCTCATTCAGCAGGGGGAATTCTGACCTTCCCCTGCTGCTCCTGTTCTTTGTCACAGTAGCTTAACAAGTAACTTATTTACAGGTGATTGCTGCTGGAAATAGTGATGCTGGAGAATTCCAGGCATCAGTCACACCTAAGAAACCTCTGTCTGATGGACGGTGGCATACCGTTGCAGGTACATTGTACATGCCATTTCTTCTGAAGCTTTGAAGGGATGGTGGGCACAGAGCACTACAGCTCCAAATTTCTATTAACCATTTAGCTTCTGTTTAGTCTGAGAATACTCTTTAAAACAATGTGTCTTGTGTTAATTAAAGGTTTTATATAAGTTTTTTTGTAGGCTCTGTTAGGCTCCAGACGACCTGGGATTGTCAGCCTGATTCTGAATTAAAATTAAATCTGTTTTTTTCTGTGCCTTAAATTTCAAGAAAGATGCTATTGAAAAATAGTGCCATATCTACCTGATTCTTTAATAGGGTTGAGAAAGAGTTCTCATTTACCTGCTTCTTTGCAGTCTCTCAGAAGGAGAACACAGTGCAGCTAGAGGTGGGCACACAGAGTAATTATACCACTGTACTTCAACCCTCTCCTGCTAGACGTGTGTATCAGCCACTCTACTTTGGCAAAATTCCAGGTAATATTATTGCTTCTTATTTTTTCATGTCTCTTCCTTTCCAAAACAAAGGTCCCATCCATTCATATTCTCCTATACAATTTCCCTTTACCATAATTAATGTTCTTTAAAATAATTCTTATTAACTTGGTCTTTCCACCTTGTTTTTTGTAGCAAATTTGGACACCCTGTGGCTTCCTGTTGAAGACCCATTTTTTGGCTGTCTTCGGAATATTACCATCAATGACAAACATGTCTCCAGCAGGAGAATTTCAGAGGTTCATGGTGCAGTGAATTTGCACGGGTGCCCAGAGAAGTAACTCTGCTGTTACAGTTGTCGTGCACAGATTGGGCTGTGTCTGCTGAAGAGCTGTGTGGATTCCCCTTTGCTGACCAGCATCAGGCTGCTTCTTCTGAACAGCCGGTGAGCAAATGCATCCTCTGGATGTGGACTGTGCCAAAGCAAATGAAATGTATTTGCTTTGACAAACTCCCTTTTAAATGTCATTGATTTCCAAGGTAATCCGTTGTGCCTTTTGAGATATATGCAGAAAATTGCATATGCCCTACTGGGCCAAATTCTGCTCTCATCCAAAACAGCAGAGACTTGAGCAACTCCACTGTCTTAATTTTGGAAATTTTTCTTAATGTTGGCTATCTTGAGAGCAAATTTGATTCATTAATATAAAGAATTTTATAAAAATATAAATATCTTTGGATTGTTGCTTATACAGCAATGTACATTGATGTTAAAAGTAATAATAATATAAATGGAGTTTGAAGCACTTTAAGGAGTGAAACTCTGGGGGTTTGTTACAAAGTTAGGAATTGTGGGACCAAATAAATGCAGTATGTTCCTAAAACCTTTCATTTTCTTGTTTGGTTGTTTTAACCAGGTGGGTTTTCAATGTACTTTTTAGAAGCTGCTAAATCCTGCTTGCTTTGTGCAAATATTTCTGTAGGTTTAAGATGCTGATTTGCCTGAATAAGCAGGTAGCCATCATCTCTGCATCTCTGCTCATCACGATTTGATTATCTAAAAATCTCAAAAAGAGGGCCATTTTTTTGCAGTCTTTAGAGACCGAGTCTCTTCCATAGGCAGTATTTTTTCCTAATGAAATGAAGAAAAGTTTTATCAAGAATAGCAGCTGCATCTGCTACAATTATGAAGTACAAATTACAGGACTAACACAGTAAAAACTGTTTTCTTCAACATTCAAATCTTTGTTTTGTACCTGATTGTGACCCACAGTGGAGGGCAGGGAACCCACTTTGCTTTATTCTTCTGAGAAGAGAGCTGGACTGTGTAGACTTGACATGGCTTCTTTTTCCACTGCCATTCAGAATCAGCATTTTGATAATTTTTTTTATCCCCAATGCCTGATGCCAACTCTCTTTTGCAAAGTGAAAAAATAAAAAAAAATGAAAATAAATTCTAAGGCTGGTCCTCAATGTAGAGAGGCATGCAGACAAATTCTCCTTCACTCCTAATGTTCCTACTTTCCCCTGCCTTCTTCTCAATGTACAGCAGTGTGTCCTCAGTGTGTTTGAAATGAGGTGCAAGCTGGACTAACAGAAGCAGATGACAGATCAATAGCCCTTATGATTTTGGTCATTATTCCCTTTGCAGGGTGGCAAAAGTGTCAGAAAGCTGTTCACACCAAATCTTGTGTTGCTTTCCCTTTTATGGCACCTCTTTCACAGGCAAATCTGTGACCATGCAGAAGTTTCTGAAGTGTAAAGCCAGTGTTGTGGGAATGGGATGCATGCTGGGACTCAGGGCTCAGAGGGAGCAAAGGATTTACATGTAATAGCAAAGCACTCTCCTTATATTATATATATTCTCCTGTACAGCAATCTGCCACATGGGACAGCAACAGCCATCATGGTGGAGGTGATGGGTTCAGAAATAATTTCCTGTGATAGCAACAACTGAATTCTTTCTGTTTATAAAAACTCAAATACTGCTCAAATACTCAGTTGACCAAAACTGTGAAAATACGCAATTTATTTACTGGCCTGAATTGACACTAATAGTTTCCAGAAGGAGAAAGGAAGAGCAATTAAATTTTATCATGCAATTCTCTAGTAACCTTCCCTCTCTCGTGCTCATCAGAGAACTCTGTGAGGCAGATTTTCCCAAACCACAAAAAAAAGCCTTTTCATTCTTCTCTTACCACCCTCAGTAAAACAAAGACAAAAACCATGGCAAAGATTTTTGCATCACAACCTGGAGCCAGTCCTGGATTTCAATTTCCTTCCATTTGATTTGATTTTATCAGAAGTAATTTTAATGCTGACAAAAAGAAATGAAAAATGTATAAAGACTTGAGTAACTCTAAGATATATTGATCAGTAAGTATTAATTATAATATGATACTACTTTTGCACAACAAAAAAAAAATAGAAAAGTCTCTGGTATTAAGGTACTTTGTAGTTGCTTGGGTTTTTTCCCCCACAGTTTTTTGTATTGCTTCCACAGAGTCAAACTGTCATACATTGTTGGTACAATGACTAAAAGCCAAGTAGAGTTTCAGGTTCTGTACTTTCATATAGGTAAATCTATATCAGACTGAGGAACCCTTAGTAAAAATGTTTTTCACAGAATATTTTGAGGTGGAAGGAACCATCAAGTATCATCAAGTCCAGTTGATGATCTTTACATGAGGAAAGAATTTGTCCTGTTTCAATTGATGAAGAATTTTTATTATTGAAGAAATTCAAATGGACACTGTGTTACAGCTTTTTTTAATTGTTAGAAGTAGTAGTCCAAGAATTTCATCATCAGTGTTGGCATTTGACAATAGCTTGCATTAATTATTTGCTTCTTTTGGCCATAGCATTTCAGGTGTGCCCCCAAAACTAGCAATTCCCATGTTAGAATAAAATACTCACACATGAGAGGCTTTCCCTGTAACATTTCATTCTACAGTCATTTTACTAATCAAATACTATGTTCTGAGAGTGGATGGCTAAAAAATGCACACTCTTTAACAGCATGTTAGAGTTCTTCTGAATCCCAAATCAATTACAGAATGAGAGCGGATTTCCACTCTACACTAAACCACATTTGGTATTGTTAGCATCAAATCTCTCTCTTGTCCATTTGAGTATCAAGGGCAAAGGGTTCTCATCCAGTTAATTTGGATTAGATTTAATAGGATCATGTTATCTGAGGTGGATGACACCAAGGTCTGTGAGTTTCCATTTATTATAACTATAAACCACAGCCAGATTATTGGCAGCTGAAAGACAGAAAGCCTAACATTGAGAACTGAGAGCAAATAAAATGAAATAGATCACAGGGCACTGTAGAAGGAAATACACATTCATTGCAGGAAAAAAAAAAGTGTATATACATGCTAATATATAAGAAAGGAAGACATTGCCTTTTCACTTCTTATAAATGACTGTAACATAAGTTTATAATAACAAAAGCTTTCAATTAAAACTTTTAACATTCTGTCTGTACCTGAGCTAAGGTTTTGTGCATTTGTTTCTGTGGAGCTTTCATTTAAAACACAGAGCCATTGACCTTTTATGCTGTCACCAGCAACATTAATTGGGCAAGCTAACTTTCTGTGGTTTTGTAACCACTTGTTTGAGTCACCTGTGAGCCAATTCATTTTAGCTTTCCAACCTCTTTGCCTCTTCGTAAGTCCTGCATGGTAATTTTTTATATATGGTATTTTTTATTATTATTTGGGGTATTTTCTCCCTTCTTCTTCCTTTCTGCCTTTCATAACATAGCCTTGAAAATGCAGTCATAGTGAAAACACTATAAATGTGTTATGGTTTTGTAATGGACTCTTACCATGCTTTTTGCCTCTTACCATTCTCTTTGTGGTTTCCTCATTTAAGAAAACCAAAAACCTCCTGCATCTTTCTCTAATGATGTAAGGAAATTTAGGACACAACCTGCTGTAAATCTGTCTGTATTTTCTAAAAATACATTAAATGGACATCCCTGGCAAAAGGGATGTTAAAGGGGATGGTGCTATAATACAGTATTATAGCTTCACTGGAGACATTAAGGCTGCAAAGCAGAAACATAAACATCCTTTGTGCAGTTGGCTCAGACATCTTAAAATTGCAAGAGGTTGGTCATTGCCTGAGCTGCAACGAAGCACCCTCTGAGTATAAAGAATTGCAAGTAAAATAACCAATGAGTTTTTATGTTCTGTCAGTTTAGGGGATCCTCTGTAGCAATAAAACCAGATTGTGACCTATTGGTCATATTGTACTGTGTCTCCTGCTTTGCAGCTGATAGCATAAGATGTTTTTTAAACACACTCCTAACCTTGTTTTACACCTCAGCCAGTTAACTGTGTTTCCTACATTCCTTCCAAATGGGAAGCACATGTGAAATGTTCCATGAGAAACAGTTTCTTTGTTAAGGTGTCACTGACTCGTTGAGAAAGATGGAAAACTGCTGCATTGTCACACAGAATAAAAAGAAAGAGAGTTGGCATCATGGCCTTTTGTCTCTGTTCACTTATATTTAAATTGTGAGCAACAACAGATTTCTCCATTGTCTGGGAGCCTGTGTTTAAGACTTCTGTCACAGGAAGACTATGCACTGGTAAGAATGAATAATTACATTTATTATTGTGTCAGTAATTTATAAAATATTATATATCATGGTTTAGGAATGGTGCTTCACAGTTGAGTGCACCCACTGAGACTCTCCCAAACCACACTGACACTTGCCCACTCTTCCTTTCCGCTGCCTTTCCTGGTCCAGCAGGTAAAGATCACAGGTTGAGAAAAGAAAAATTTACTGGAAACAGCAATGAGATAAGAAAATGAACAATAATAGCAACAATATGAATAATGAAAGTATACAAAGAGAGGGTGATTCATGTGCAAAGATGCTCACCAGAGACCCCCAAGACAAAGAACCATGGCAGACAATGCATGTTTTTTTTAACCAGAAGCCCTCCCGTACAGAAGCCAGAGTCCCTTACCCTGCTCCTGGCAATGACATGAGGTGGTATGGAATAACCTCCTGCCATGCCCCTTCAGCCATGCTTCCTCAGCTACTGCAAAAAAATTAACTCTGTCCTGGCCAAAACTAAGGCAGTATAGAAAGGAGCTGTTAGAATTTCCATCCAGAAAGAATTATTCAGATCACTTTTTGACGTCTGAAGACGTAACAAAGAAAAACATTTTAAAGGATAGAGAAACAAATTATTTTGTGTTCAACCAGCTCTTGCTAATACAGTTTTAATTAACAAGGTTAATTATTAGTATAATAAGCCAAAATCTATCAGCATGAGATATTACTTAATAGAGGAATTGTATAATCAGGTAACAGCACCTACCATGAATCTTAATTCTAGATCCTGATTACTTTCCAATCAGAATTACTGTCCTGATACTACAAACCTAGAGAACCAGTACTATGCCGAGGCACTTACTCCTGTGCTGAGGCCGAGGGCTTCAGATAATAAAATTTACCTGAGAACAAGGTGTCAGATCAGTAATAAATTCTAACTTTCCCTTTTCTGCACTCATTTAAATCAAAGGTAATGACATGTCCCCAGGGCCACTAACCTAAGCAGTAAAGAAGCTAAAAACATTGTGAGCAGTTCTCCAGGAAAACACATAGGTATAATCCAAAGTTCAGTGGCTTAGTGGAAAGATTGAATCAGTTCACAGGACTTTCGTTCATACACCTTATTAAAACATGCAGTAAATCTTACCTACTGTTTATTAAAAAAGTATTCTAATATATTGCCAAGGTTTATAGAGAATTGTTACTGCAGATTAAATCTGTTTGTTATGTAATAAAGGGCAGGACACAGTCTCCATAAAACCTAAGATAATCCATCTAATGCAAATATACATAAATGGAAACTTT